CGGGTTGTTGTTGTTGTTGTTGTTGTTGTTGTTAGGAGCACCTTCTTAAAGTGACAGGACTAATCTGTGTCCCACATAGCCAGTCTGTGGGAGTCAGAATTATTGTTGGTTGGTAGGTAGGGGATCAAATACTTTATTTTACACACTGAACTGCAACTCAATTTATAACATTTGTATCATGTGTTTTTTCTGGATTTTTGGTCTCTATAATTAAAAATAATAGAACTTTCATTTCTCTGTAAGTGGGCAAACTTGCAAAATCTGCAGGGGACCTAACAATTATTTTCTTCACTGTAAGCTTCATTTGTGTTTAATAGTTAAGGTTCATTTTTAAGATTTAAAGTGACATTGAAGGCTAATCCCCTACAGCGCCAGTGCTGCTCTCTGATCTAGCACAGACTCCTATTTCTTCTTGTGTCCCACGGAGTCTGTCCTGCATGTGCGCTCCCGGCGTGCGTTCATTCACTTACACTTTGTCACTCCTCCTCTCCACTCCACTGATATCAAGTGCGCATACACACGCAGACACTTCCTCCTGCACGGCCATCTGGAAGCTGTGTTCTGCATCACTTTACAGACTATCATGTTTTTTTTTTTAATTTTGCCAATACTTCCACTTCAAATGTATTGTTAAATCAGAACGTTAGTGTAAATTAAAACATTTGTTAGAGGGAAGGTTTTTTTTTATTTTTATTGTAGAAGAGACAAATTTTTCATCTTCTTTCCAATAAAGGATTCTTATCTACCTCCTCGAAAACATCCTAAACTGTACACTGAGCTGATCATGACCGGCTTGGTGTACAGTCCTGGTATATGCCGGGTAACACAATGAATAAACTCCCGTGTGCGCATGTGCATGAGTTACGTCATCCCCACCAGATCAGTCAAGATGGCCTGACAACCCAAACCTGGAAGAACATCTCAGCGCCAGAGAGGGAGCTCAGGAACATTGCATCGCTGGAGTATGGTTCCGCTTTCAATGCCACCGGTGTATGTAGCATACTTGAATTTGGTATCAGCCTCTTGTGATTCTCCAAACTGTAACACTCTGACTTGGAAAGGAAGGGGCTGCATTAAGAGACAATCATGTGTGCTGCATACAAACCTGTATACAATCTGACAGGAGGAGAAAGCAGAGCGAGCAAAGGCTGGGGCTGTTGGTGCCCTGTCACTGTATAGTCATAGCCTGGTGGTAGGGAGATTACCATCTTTATTGTTTAATTGCAGTAGAGCAAAGTCAGGTCACCTGCCTAGCTGTGCTGCCTAGTGAAACTGTTAAAAACTCAGGGCTGGATGAACAGAGAGTAAATTCAGAGGCCCTTATCTGCATACTTCTGGGTTAGTTGCCAGGCAACCAGTGTGAATTCTGACAGCAAATTTCAATTTAGTTTTAGTCAGTCTTTTGACTAAAATGCCATTTTAATTTTAGTCCTATTTTAGTCATGTGAATTGTTTTAGTTTAAGTCGACTAAATATGATAAGATTTTAGTCTACTAAATCTACAGTAGATTTAGTCTACTAAAATCAAGTGGGTTTATTTAAAGATTCATGTAAGAATTTCTCTAGAATTTCCAATCTCATTATATACTCGTGGAGTAAACATCTGTTGACCTGTTATTACTTATGGATAAGGTTTAAACATGCAATACAGACACAGATTTAACTGTTGTGATATAGAAAATGTCTTTATTTATCTTAAAATTAGATCAGACCAAGTCTTATTAAGAAACAATAATATTAAGTATTTTCAACCAAGGACCAGTAATTAGATATGTATTGATTATAACAACTTCCATGTGACATTCTTCATTCTTTCAAGCAAAAGTGCAACTCTAAAATATTAAAATGAAAACCTATATTGGCTGTAATGCCATTGCACATATTACCTATTAGCCATCCATTCTGGATGGAACCGGAACTGGAAGTCCAAAGAGATTAGTGGTCTCTGATTGGATCTCTTCCCAAATCGTCTCTCCCTAACATTTTAGTCTAGTTTTAGTTAGTCGACTAAAATGTCAATATATTTTCATTTATAGTTTTGGTCATCAGAACTTACATTTTATTTAGTTTTAGTCACTGAAAAAGTGTTATTGATGAAAACTATGACGAAACTTATTAGTCGACAAAATTAACACTGCAGGCAACTTACATTTACTGAATTAGAATATAGCAATGGCAGCCTCTATGTTTCTTTCAGGAAAGGTTTCCCTTCAGTACTTTTCTCATGGTTAATATCCTAAACATTTGAAGAGAACCCATCATGACTGCAAGAATGTGAAAACCATGGCTGAGATCAGGCAGCAACTTTCTGACATCCATACTTTCTGGCATGCATTGGTGACCTGCAGAGTTGTATAATGTAACAATAAATATTCACTTCTTTAGTGAAGCCTAATCATGACTGATTCTCTTTTAAAGGAGAACTATGGGGTTAGGGCTTCTCCCCATAGTTCTCCTATGGGTAACGGGAGGACACAAACTAGCATCCACCCAAAGCTCAGTATACCGCGAGCTACAGCCCGCGGTATACTGAGACGCCGCAGCTGGAACGAATCGTGACAATTCTGTCTGGATCCCCCCAGCTGCGTGAGTGACAGCTGGCTCTGCCTATCTAGAGGCAGAGCCAGCTGCACCCGCCTCCATCCGTTCCGCCAGTCAGCACTGGGGGGTATCCCTGCAGGGAGCCATGAGTGACAGTCACGGCTCTCTGCACGGATAGATCGAGAAGTGAGCGAGTGCCGGTATGTGTTCGCTCACTTCCCGATCTACTGAGCCGACCTGTGACAGTTTCATTGTCATAGGTCGGCTCAGATTATGAGGCTGAGTGAAAATCGCTCACCTCATAATTCTCCTTTAGGGAACCCTGTAACCTTTCTAGAGGACTTAAAGCAGAAATGAAGTGGAAGCAAAGTTAGGTTAATCTTCCAGTTCAGATGCCCTGAATGTGAGGAGCTCTGGTATACAGGCATCAACCAGACTGCCCCACCTGCCTTCTCACAAGTGGTCCATCACTGTGACTGATGGACAAGGCTTGAGTTGGCTGGGCCAGGCTCTCGAACCAGTAAACTGGGCTGATATGTAGAAACCAGGGTACATGGATTGCTGAGTTGGAAACCGGCAGTGGTGTGCAATGACCTGGTGGTGCCTGCTGTGTGCTTCCAGCAGCAAATGTGGTTTTTTATCTACATTTTAAAGGAATGCCCCTAATAAAACATAACATATACCAAATGCTTTCTTCTTTTTTTAGATGGGAGAATATCCTCCTAAGTCTATGTTTAGTATAGATGAGTTTCCAGCGACAGAAAGAGGCTCTGCATTTTCTGGAACAAACCCTCCATCTTTTAAAGGAGAATCTGAACACAAGAGTTCCCCTAACTTGAGGCGAATCAAAGGTATATTTTAGACAAGCTAGCTTGTCTACACCCACTGGATCTAGTCACTCATCTGTGTGCAGCTCCTCAGATCTCTTGGTTACACCGCAATTCTCCTCATTCTTACTCTGGTCATACACGGTTAGATTTTTTTAAATTCAGCCTGGGAGCTAAGTGAAAATAAATCTTTCACATTCCTTAGTCCACACTAACCAGCATGGATGAACAAATCTCCCACCATTACTGCTGTGCATTCTTCCCTCCAAATTCACCACCATTGTCATTTTCATCCTACAAGTTTCTTTCCTAGTCCTGCTGTCCTCCTCTCCTCCTTTTTAGCTGCTTGCTCTCCTCTGTTTTGTACTGTTTATCATCCTCTGCAGTGTTTATTGTGTTGCTGCTTTTTCTGACTCCCACAATAATCTGGTCCATTTAACACCTCCTGTCCACATTCCTGCTTTGTCCATCCTGAACCCACTATGTACTCTAATTGTTTTTACCTATGGTACCCTGCTATGCCAAACCTCCATCTCTTCTTTACCCCACCCCTACATTTCTGCGGCTTTGTGCCCCCCAAGATGAGAAACGGATGAGTTCTCTGCCTTCCACTGCACTTTTATCTTTCATACTCCATCTTTCTCTACTATTAGTTACAATTCCCCCCCAGATCATCTGTTCCTGCTTCTCCTGCCATCAGCTTTGACAGCCTTCAGTTAAATATATACAGGTATTTGTGTCTGAATGGCAATCCAAACTGGACCCACTTCTTCCTGTATCCCTTATTGAGCACTGCTCCTCACTGTGCTTCTTAACTTCACTACTGAGCAATACTGCACACTGTACCTCACACCACTCCATGCTTTATGTTCTATCTCCATTTGGTTACACTCTGCACACTGTGCTATATGTCAAGTGCTCCAAGCCCCTCAATTCTGCACAATGTGCTCTATATGCTATACCTTATACTACTCTTCTCTGCAATGTGCTCTGTATGTCGTATACTCCACACCTCTTCACATGTACCCTGTGCTGTATGTTTTTTTTATACTCCACCCTATACAGTATGCAGTTTATACTTCACAATGCTTCACTTTGTACATTGTGCTGTATTTTCTATACCCACACTGTTCCATTGTGCACACCGGGTTGCACATTTTAGACTCCATTATGCATAATGCGCTGTACTTTCTATAATCCACATGACACCACTCTGCACATTATGCTGTATACTCTATATTACTACCTTTTGTGCTCTATGTTGTACATTCTATAAATCCCAATGCTCCACTTTGCACACTGTGCTGTAAATCATATACTTCACACCTCTCCACTCTGCTTACTATGCCGTAAATTCTATACCACTGCACATGGATGCTGTGCTGTACATTCCCTTCTCTACATTACTTTACACTGTACATTTTGGACATGATTTACTAAAATGTTTGTGTTAAACACTCCAGCTTTTTTTTTTTCTTTGTGTGTTGTATATGTTACACAACTTAACTCCATGCTGTAGTTTACACAGCTCCACTCTTTACACCGTTCTTTACATTGCACAATAAACACCATTCCACTCTATACACCATGCTTTACATACTCCAAACCACTCCACACGGTGCTGTACAATTTATACCTTACACTGTTCTATTGTTTTCCCTGTGCTGTACATTATACAATGTGACATGCTGTACACTCTGCTGTTCATTCTATGCTCCACATACTGTATACTCCAAGTTATTTCTAACAGTATTGTCTTACAGGAAAAGAACCCCGGCAACGGACAGAGTCTGCTTCAGAAGCCTTGGAGACAGACAATGTTGGAGAGCTTCACCATTTTCGCTCACGTTCCCGCTCTGCTCCATCTTCTTTAATGGTTGCAGCTCGTTATGGACGAGAGCTGAGACGAATGAGTGATGAATTTGACCAAATCTTCACGGTAAACTTTTCTTTTACCTTATATTATTTTTGTCTTCCAAGGCAGCCAAAAACGGTAACACAAAATATACGCTTATCTTAAAGTAACAGTCCATAAGTGTGTCTCACTGCTTTGTTGAAAAGGTCCCAAAACCTGGGGGAATCCTTTCCCAGAAATATAAGTCTTGCCAGCAAGGCACAGCACAGCACTAGAGCACATCTCTCTCACACAGCTGCTCACTTCCTCCTCAACTCCCCACACCTCCTCTCTGGGAGTTGCCGACCCTTTAAACTCCTTCCTGCTGCAGGAAGGTTAACCCCGTAGCTTCCCTTAAAGGGACCACAACCCAAATAGCGGTGATGCATATCTCCCATCCAGGACCCAGCCTTGCCGTCGTCTACAATATATATATA